AGGGAGGCGTAAAATTTTAACAAAAAACATACTCTCTACTGTAGAACTGTCTCCTTTTTGTCCAAGTAATTTCTCGTCCCCTTGTTCTTTTGCCTCTCAAAGAAATCGGCTCTGCAAGCATGACAACAACAATCCCGAACATATTGTGAGAAGAAATACAAATGGGAAAATTATTTTAACATGCTACAGATGAACTTCAAAATTAAACAAATGGCAATATACCTTTATATTGAGCAGATCTACAACATCAAGCGCATGGCAAGCCGTTTCGGGTAGAAAAACAGAAGGGGCAATTATTTTTTTACAATAGATGAGACAATTGTTTTTGTCGTGTGTGTGTTTGTGAGCTCACCCAGTTTTTAAATGACAGGGAGGAGGGACACAGTGGCGACGACTGTAATTTTACAGCAACCTCACAAGCTCCGGAGCTTAGCAAAAAAAGATAAAAATGGAGGAGGGATCTGCTAGGTGGGAAGTAAGGATGATGAACAGTGAATGAAGTATACTCTCATTGACGCTATGGAACTTGTGAACGGTAAAATAGGATTCCTTGAATTTTTTGATAGTGGATGAGTGAGGAGGAGAATATTTGAGGAGCCATTTCAATTGATTTGCAGAGGAGTTTTGATGGGAGAGCAGGGGTGTGTTAATTATCCAACGACTTTTTTATTTTTACAGTGTCGGTGGGTTGCTTGAGGTTGCTGTTGGAAAAAAGCAGCTACTTGCCACTTTTTTCCAACCACAGGTTCAACCATTAGGGGGTGGGTCCCATCATTTTGAACCCACGTTTTAAACATAACCAAACATGTAATTTTTGCGTTTTGGCTATACCTCAGTTCCTGCCGTATTACCAAACGACACCTAAATGAGTGCGTGGCTTCATTGTTTTATATTGTTATTTAAGCTTCTCTTTGCTTCTTCTTTTTTTCAATTGCCCCCCTCTCTAATTTTCTTTTTCCATTCCCCTCATTTTTTTTATTTCACTTTTCATTTTTTTCTCTCAAATCCATCCTTTTATTCTTCTCAGCAGTTGCCTGATTGCCTTGAGATTGACCAACTCTAGTGAATCATATTAATGTAATTTTCAAGTAATTTAATTTTTTTGTGTCGGAGAAAAAGTTGGGTCAAAATATTTCAATATCATTAGTTTTTTTAATTTTATTTTCAAAGTTTTCTTACCAATTAATCAAGTTATCTCTCGACTAGTTAAGTTAGACAATTTCTATATAATTTTTTAAACATAACCAAACATGTAATTTTTGCATTTTGGCTATACCTCAGTTCCTGCCGCATTATGGCTATACCTCAGTTCCTGCCGCATTACCAAACGACACCTAAATGAGTGTGTGGCTTCATTATTTTATATTGTCATTTAAGCTTCTCTTTGCTTCTTTTTTTTTTCAATTGCCCCCCTCTCTAATTTTCTTTTTCCATTCCCCTCATTTTTTTTATTTCACTTTTCATTTTTTTCTCTCAAATCCATCCTTTTATTCTTCTCAGCAGTTGCCTGATTGCCTTGAGATTGACCAACTCTAGTGAATCATATTAATGTAATTTTCAAGTAATGTAATTTTTTTGTGCCGGAGAAAAAGTTGGGTCAAAATATTTCAATATCATTAGTTTTTTTAATTTTATTTTCAAAGTCTTCTTACCAATTAATCAAGTTATCTCTCGACTAGTTAAGTTAGACAATTTCTATATAATTTATTTTTAAACTCAAGTTAGATAAAAAAAAATTAAGTTGATAGGTTTTTTATATTAATTTTATTTTTTTCTTAATTTTATTTTCAAACTATTTTTATTGAAGAACCAATATATTTTTAAACTGGTTAAGTGAATTAAATCATGTCAAGACAGTTTTTATATAATTTAATTTTAAACTTAAATTATATAAGATGTCAAATCAAAAAAATTTAAAATTAAAATGAAAATATTAAATAGCTCTTAATGACCCCGAGTATTTTTCTATTGCATTCAATTATTTTTTACCCATGCAAAGTACATCAATAAACTGGATATTTTACTGTTGAATTTGAAAGATATGAGATTATAGGTATAAAAACTTTTCATGTCAATTAATTGTTTAAAAATAATTCTGAAGGTGATACATGTTATTACCATGTCTTTAGGTGTGTTTAAATATATTTTTCAACGAAAACCAAACCGTGAAAAAATGAGATTCCGAGTGTTTCTGATGTCCATGGGACGAGTGAATTCAGCGCAAATGCCAAATCCCAATGATTAACCGAAGAATGCTTGCACGCTAGCCTACGTCTGCCCGGGCTGGCTTGGTCCAAGCCTTGCCTATTCTTTTAACGTTTATTTTCATTTGCTTTCTTCTTTTATTTTTTTTTATTTTCCAATATGTTTTTTTTAAATAATTGCTACCATTTATCATGTATAATAGCTGACGGTATAAATAGCTATAACAAGCTGATTTTTCACGGAGCCAAAACTTAAATGCAAGCGGTGAAGGTAAATTTGTTTCTCAAAGAAGCAATAATTATATATGATCAGATTCGAGAAAATGAAGAATCTGCTGCAAAAACAATCAATCCATTTCAAAACAAACCACCATGGATTTAAAAGTCAGGCACCTTAAGATGTTAATGGTATAATCTTAAGATTGCATTTCTTGATTATCATTAAAAAAAATAAAAATTAATACCCAATTAACCAGCACATGACTGCTCAACAATAATTTATGACAGCATTCATGGTAACCAATAAGCTCAACCATAATACCATGATATCTCCTTTAATGAAGCCATCACGATCATATATCATAGAAGATAGTACATTGAATGTTGCTAAAATAGATGAATGTATATTTTATTATAGTTTGTATTTAGGACAATCGTTTAAAAATATAATAAAAATTATTTTTTAAAGTATTTTTATTTAAAAATACATCAAAACACTCTTTTTTCAAATACAATTAAGCCGCAATAATTTAGTAACTTTAGTCACAGCTATTCGTCGCTTGTAATGGGCCTCAAACAACTAGTTTTTTTGGCCCGAACAGAGAGCTTCCATCAAAGGTAGCACATGATCACTAATGGAAGTTTGAGTGGAAAAAAAGGAAGGAAGATATCATAAACCATTGAATGATGGAGTTGAATGGATGAGAAACACAGAGCGTGAAAGCACATAAAGCATAGTTGTGAGTATGTTTAAGTACGAAGCGAAAAACATAGAAATCTTGATGTGAGACAGCGATAAAGTTGTAAATAAGCATAATCCATGCTTTATGATATCTTAACATGGAGTGGCTGCCCAAGAAAAGTCGGGAAAACAACAAATAAAACCCCCAACAGCAGGTGCCACGAGCATTTTTTGACAACGAAGGTGCTGAAATGGGGCTGTGTTATGCATGTTCTTATCTGTAAAAAACAACAAAAAAACCACCTATTTTGCCGGACACCTCTCAACCAAGCATCCTCGTCGGAGAGCTAGTCGACCTGTGGAGCATATTTTTAAGCATGAAAGGATGAATAGAAACATAAAGATATGTTGGAAAAGCCAGCTAGCAAGGCTGCCAAATGTAGATGAGTGCTGGGAAAACAAAAACAAAATGGATAAAAAAAGGGAAACGAAGAGATGGGCGTAATGAGTCAAGTTAAGGCAAGTTATAGGCAAAAAAAGAAAATAAAATGTGAGAACAGTGCAGCCGTGCGTGTGACCATTGCTTGAAATGAGAACCATAGCTAAAGTGGTTGTCTTAAGCTAGGAAAGAAACCATGTCTAAAACAATAGTTTTCCAGCTCGACTGAAACAAACAGTGGCTAGGCTAAGAGCAAAAGAAGTTAACACAATCTATCATAATTGTTCTTGACAGAAAACTCATTATGTAATCACCAATGCTTACGTATAAATACAAAGGTCTTGCCTCTTTGCAAATTCTAAGAAAAAACAATCCAAGCAGCTCAAAGGGAGACTTGCTAAATCTGGGTTATACGAATCTCGAAATTTCCTTCCCATTTTCCATCATATCCAAGTAGCAAATCTAGCAAGAGCAAGAATAGGGCAAATCCCAACCTGACTCTAAAATATACAAAAACACAAAAAAATCCCCTGTTTTCAAAAGATTCTCGGGTAATTCCTAATTAAGTGGCCACCCAAAGCTCTAAATACAGGATTCATTCTTGTCATTGGCATTGGTATAAGCTAGAAAATCAAAAAAGCATGAATCAACTCTCAATCTTTTCAAAAAGCATGAATCATAATCTAACAGCGAAAGTAATAAGTAGAAAAGGCAGAGTGAAATAAGGTAATCATGCGAAGCTGATTCGCTGCATGGAATTGCAACGAATCAGGGGCAAAAAAAGCTGATGCAACGGTAAACATTACGGAGAAGTCGCCAAAAAAGTAAGGACATGCTTGAGTAAAACTGGCAGGAGCCATAAAAGTGTGTTCCTAAAGAAATACGCAGCAGTGATTAGCATATACAATCAAGTCTGTAGTATAAATCATTGCAGTATATCAACACCTTAATTTGAATGTGCAGCATCCAACCAAAAAATGTGCAGAGGGATAAAAAAAGCTAATTGTAAAAGTGCGAATGACAGAGAAGGATTCAGTAACATAGATCTCTGCTAGAACGACAAACAGACACAACAACCTCAATACTGTAGACCCAAAGATGGCATGTGATTCTAGAGGCATTGCATGTCAGTACTGTCAAAATGATCTCCAAACTCAAACTCAACATTACAGACACAAAAATGATTTTAGAACAGCAAAAAATAATTCGGAAATGGAGGAAAAAAATGAATGACTTTTCAGATTTTAACTTAACTTTGGAGGTTTTTCAGCTAACATTAAATGCCACCCACCCTCTCTTGTTGTCGAACCCTTCTCTTCCACTCACTGCATTTAAATCTAGCCTCACAGTGTCAAAAGAAAACAAAAGGTGCCGTCTTTTTTTTTGCAGGCAATACTTATGCTTTCTTTTAAGTGTTGCCTACGCAATGTATATTGACTAATCAATTATATCAACTCCGTCACAATCTTCTTTCTTGATCAAAGATGCTATAAAATAAATGGTAAACTTTCATAGAAGTCAGTTCTCTCCAGTGGGTGCTGACCTAAAACTCGTTGAGCTCAGGTTGATAATCAATGTTCTTCACATGAGTTCCACTGTTTATCACAGGACCGGAAGCGTTTCATGTTCCCACACAAATTAAGGGCTGCTGAAGAATTGGATTACTGCTCCTCAATAATGAAAACCAAAGGGATGGGCAGGAGGATAAGAGCAGAAACAAACTTGGACAAACAGAAGCAGAAAAAACAGCGAAAAGAAGGTAGCGGTCCCAACCAAGTGGATGAGATCTCAAGCGCAGGTTAACAGGCTGTTAGGCACCTTTCTTTAGGCCAGCACAGCAAACAAAAACATTTTAATTGGTAAAAAAAATCATAAGTGAACCTGTAAAAACAGTCGCCTATGAAGCAACGGAGGAAAATGAAGCAGTCCTGGCCAAATCTCTTTATTTTATCCAATAAAGTGTCTCAGTGGATATGCGGTAGAAGGCTGAAGTTCTCAAGCTGCAGATCAAAGGGTGTCAGTATGTTCTCTGTCAGCAAGTGGCACAAAAAGCAGCAGGGAAATAAAAAGGCGAAGGAACTCAATGGGAAAAAAAAAATGACACGTCAAAAAAAGAAAAGAACACCTTCATTCGGTTGGAAAGCAATTATATTGGAACAGGGTCAAGAGAAGAAACAACATCACCATAGCATGCATTATATTCATTTCTTACAACATAATAAAGCAATCAAACCATAACAAACAAATCAAACACAAATGAAGCTCTCAATCTATATTTCACAGAAATCCTAAAACTCCATGCTACCAAGTTAAAAGCATGGGACGGAGGTACAATCCAATGGTTCACCAAAACCAATATATATATTAGTAATGGAGTTGGTGTTTAACTTACCTTAACACCTGCATACTCTCCTAACTCAAAAAACCTAGGAATCAGAGAGCTATGCATGACTTAACAATGAACCTGCAAATGCAGGTTACTCGCAAAAAATCCCAAAAACTTTTATACATGTCATGAATTTGAGAGCGCCATAAAATGGTTTAAATATATGGAAAAAAAAACAACAAAAAACAATGTATCAGCCTAGGATCTCAGATATGAAAAGGTGGGGGCAGTTTTATAAAAATACACTGTAACCTCCAAAAGACAAGAAAAAGGATAAAGCCATGCCAAAGTCCATTGAAATGAACAAAAAAACATCGATAAGAATAAGAGTGCAAAAGAAACAAAGAAAAGTACCTCAGATAAATTAGGAATGAAAGAGCCCAAGATAACAGTGGATCAATAGGTAAAAAAGCGCACAACTGAGTTCAGAAAGCTGGCCGATCAAAGACTAAGACAGTTCCATGATCCTCTGCAAAAGACAATTAATCAGTTCCAAAAAAGTCAGGCCCCAGAGACCTCACCAAACTCGCAAGCAGCAAAAAAAAAATACATGTCAGGAACTATTCCTAGGATTAAAACACAACATCCATGAAAGATAAAAAAAACAAAAGAGGACAAAAAAGCCAATCAAGCCACCAAAACATCAAGCAAACATGGGCATAATTAGACCAAGGCAAAAGAAAAAAAAAAAAAAAGGGAAAGAGACGCAGCATAAACGCACAAAAGACCTCCTGAGAAGTTTCCCTCGGAGAAGGATCCAAATATTCAGGTAAAGCCTGGACAAATAATAAAAAAAGAGAGGGAAATTTTACAGTCCAAAGCTAGATAGGCAATCTCTTATCATCATAGAACGCCAAAACAACAAAGCCTCATCAAGCAAGTCACACAGACGCAAAAACTGGCCAGCAAAAGCATACTGATACAGCCATTATAGTCAAGGTACCAGGCTGCCAAAACTGGTTGTTCAAAAAACACTCCCCAAAGCAATTTTTGCACCACAATCTCTATCTTGCTTGCTGACGCCTAACCGATGTTCTATGCGCCACTCCGAACGTTTTAGGTGGCTCTCATTTATTCCTGTTAAATGACAGGAAACTGGAATCTTCTGCCCTGCCAAGCCACGATAAGAACATGGATCCATCCTTAGAAATCCATATTTGTAGTTAACCTTGCTTCGAAAGCATAAGGATCCTTAAAAAACCCTGATCATTGATCCAGTGTTCTCAAAGTAGCAGCTCATCCACACCAGCAAACCTATGTTAACAATCTAAACACTACAAATAATCCATGGTTCAACAACCAATCGAATCCCAATGCAACAGGTAGCATGGAAGCATGATCAGGCAAAAAAGAGAAGGCAATGAAAGAGGAAAAACCTGGCCAAGAAGAACATCCACAAAGGAGACAAAAGCCTCAGCAAGCCTACTGGAAAACTATTCCTATGAGACACTATGAACACAAAACAAGCCAGCATATTCAATGAAAGAAAACCAAAACCTAGGAAGATAACCTCAAAGAAATTAACATCGAAAAAAGAAAGACAGAACCAAGCTAACGATAACAGAGGAAGAAAAGTTGCACAAAAAGATGCACCAGGAGGACCAATGGTAGAAAGCTAAATGAACAAAAAGAGGAAGCAAGCATGTATAGAGGCATGGAAAAAAAAAAAAAACAAATCGAAACACAAATGAGCCTATCTGCACTCCCCAACCCAAAAGAAAGGACGTAAAAGCATGGCGAGCCCAAGGGCAATAGTAGCTGCCATATTTTAAAACCTAGTAAAATAGGACATGAAATGACAACATAGCAAGCACAGGTCAATAAAAAGGGTAGGAAAAGCTAACCAAACCAGAACAGCAGGAAAGAAAACCAAACCTGACAACAACCGAATAGCTGCCATTTTTTAAAACCTAATATAATAGGACATGAAATGACACCATAGCAAGCACAGGTACATAAAAAAGGGTAAGAAAAGCTAACCAAACAAGAACAGCAGGAAAGAAAACCAAACCTGACAACAACCGAATAGCCTCGGAGGACAAATGACAGGAATCAGGAACTGAAACCCCCAAAGCAATTTTCCAGATTAAACAAATCGTCTAATCCCACCCAATAAGCAGCAGCTCTCCCAATGTTGCAGGAGGCCTAAGTAATGCGCATTGAATGTATAATCATGATTAGGGGCGATCTTTACTGAGCCAATACCGATAATCGATAAAAATTTAGCGTAGCCACAATTAAAAAAAAAAAAAAAAGAACTTCAAGCCGCTACCAAGCCCCACCAGCATCGCTGAACAGACGAAAGGAGACCCAAGCCGCAGCAAGCCCAGCTCTCCAGTGGAAGAGGCGCAAACGACTCTTTCAAGCCAGCAGCACCCAAGCCCGGCCAGAGCAGGAAGCACCAGTTGAAGCCTTGAGAAGAAAAGGGCATCTCCAGCCGAAAGTCAAAGCATATTGCAACCAAGACAAATCACCCCAGAGCATGGTAGAGGTAGAGGCGCGAATATCAGTTCTGCAAGTCCACAGTTTACGATTTCAGTTTGGTTTTACGTTTTAAATTTTTTTTAAAAACAATTTAAAAAAAGTTTATTTTTTATTTTAAATTAATATTTTTTAAATAATTTTAATAAATTAATATTAAAATAATTTTTTAAAATAAATAATTTTATTTTAATATATTTTTAAATAAAAATATTTTAAAAAATAATCATTACTATATTTTTAAACTCTCTAACAATCTTCAAATGATTTTAACACGTGATTTAAAAAACAATTAATTTTATTTTAATTTTATTATATATTATATATGCACCATGCTAATAAAATTAAAAATTTATTTAAAAAAAATAAAGTCATTATAACTGAATAGATGATTTGTTTTGTAATGTTATATATATTAATTTACTTTTATTTTTTAATTTTTTTAATAATTTTACTTATCAACAACATTTTTTATATATTTTTTGGTCTAACCAATTTTTAAAATATTTAATTAGAAATATGCATAAGTTTTTTTATTGGAAATTTTTATGACAAAAAAACACATTGTAAAAATATATATACTTTTTTTTTATGAAAAATTAAACTATATAACCCACAATAAAATACCAATTAAATAGCTAACATATACTAAAAAAATTTAATGATTATTTGGAACATAAAAAAGTAAATAATTAAAACTCTTTTGGTGAAATAAAAACTATGGATACAAATATTAATTATTAACAATAATGACTTTTTTTTTCAAAAAAAATTGAAAAAACAAGAAAAATAAAATTTTAAATTAAAATTAAAACTTTTTTAATCAAAAAATTAGAAGGAATTACTATTTGTAGTTCAAAAGGTACGAGAATTACAGAAAATATTTTTTAAAATAATTCCACAAGTATTTTTTTTTCACTTAGGACCCTTTTTTTAATTTTTCTAATAAATTAACTGTTTTAAATTTGATCTTACAAGGGGGGAATTTTTTTATAAAAAAAAATTGCGCTATGGAAGTCCACTATTCATCGAGTCTCGATTTATTACAGTGGTGCGGAGACCGTACTTTTAGTGTTTTATCAATAATAATATGTACTGAGCTAACAAGGAAACAATTCAATTTGTTAATATGAATAAACTAAAAAAATTAAAATTTATTATGGAACTTAGTATCTACCACCTAACCTGTCACCACCCACAACCCACTCTTTTAATCTCCAATAAATAAAATAATTAAAATTTATCTTACGATGTCTTTCTTTTCTATCTAAGAAACTAGGACAACACTGCTCTCATCCACTGAACTCTATCCAAAACATGTCAACCGAGAATGAACCCCACGCGCCACTGCTCCGCCCTCGCCAAGACCCTCCGACCTCCCCAACATCCCGCCAAACCACTCTATCCGCTTTCCTAGGCCGAGCCACCGGACGACGCGGCCCCTCCATGCGGGTAAGAGAAACAGCGGCGCGTGAGCTGGATGACAGACGCGCGGACTGGGGGTACTCGAAGCCGGTTGTGTCATTAGACATGATGTGGAACGCCGCGTTCGTGGTGGTGTCGGTAACGATGCTTCTGGTGACGGTGAAGGAGAGGCCGAACCAACCGATAAGGATATGGATCTGTGGGTACGCGTTGCAGTGTCTGGTGCATGTCGTTTTGGTGTGGCTGGAGTATAGGAGAAGGAATACGCGAAGAGAGAGAGATATAGAGAGCCAGCAACAGTCAACTGAGGAAGAGAATGTTCCTGAGAGTGACGACGAGGATGACAGGGCATCTTTCATTTCTCCTAGATCAAGGTATAAAAATATTTTTTTCCATTTTTTTTGTTGCAATTGTTGGTTTCTGTGCCAATTTAATTGGGATTTTTCTTCTTGTTTTTTTTTAAAGGATGGTTTTTGGGTAGGGTTTTTGTGTCATTTGTTTTCAGGGTCATGATGAGAGTAAAATAATAATGAAACGAAGAGGATGCTTTTCACTTCATTTGTTGCTGGTTTTAGTTTTGTTTTTTGATATGCAGTGCTGCTTTACAGCTGGGCTTGGTTCCTCAGCTCACTTGTTCTTGAGAATTCATATTCCATCAAATTCTTTTCATTGGAAGAAGACTAACACAATATCTAAAGTGTTAAAAGTTCAACAGTGAAATTTTCTTGTTGGTTGGTGAAATGTTGAGGATTACAGTTTTACCGGATGATATCATCCGCGGCACACTTAACCTGCCTTTTCACATAAACTAGTTGGATTTTTATTTGGAAACTCGAAGGAAGGAGTTGTTTTTAGGATTATAAAATCCATTGTGGGATGATTTTGACTAAACTTAAGATGGTGGAAGGTGGTTTTTACACGAAAATGGGATGGATTTTTTTTTTTACTTATTTAATTACTTTCTCAATACAACAAGCAATGTTCACAAGTTTCTTGATTTTTAAGCATTTGTGGTTATAATGTTTGTGAAGAGCTTCATGGTTTCTCTAGCATAACAGTATGGGTATTTCATCCATTTAACTGTTGGACTCTGAATATCTATAATCTCATGCCTGTGCCCAACTCTGCTCAGCTCACAAAAGCATTGAATTATGTGATTTCACTGTGTATGCATTTATGCACCTGGGACTGAAGTGAGCTCCAAAATGTGATATCCTGCTATTTGTCATTGAGTGACTTTCCTCCTACTTACTCTTGTATGTCTCTCCAGTGGTATCACTCATAGTATGTTGTCTTAGTAACTTTACCGGAAGGTTTTTTCAATTTATTGCACTTTTTTTTTAATTTAATGATATCTGCTCAGCGTTACTAAAAGATGCGAATCGGTGAATACGATGGTGTCATTTCTTTGGTGGATGGTTGGCTTTTATTGGGTAGTCTCTGGTGGCGATGTCCTTTTGCAAAATGCTCCACGTTTGTACTGGTAAGCAGTTTACCAATCCAGTACTGAAATTTTGTTTCCAAGGTGGTAGGCATTACTAAATACCACAAGCTCTTTTGAAAGCTTCATGTGCCCATGTATGAGAAAATTGAACTGCCTTTTTCTTCATCTTTTAAAAACAACCATGCTCTATCAGTAATTTCTTGCAAGCATACCAGATCTTTTTCCGAAGCAACCAACAGCACCTCATGCTCTGCTAGATTATTTGGCACATAAACCTTACGGGTATCTCCGTACTTTTATCTCCATACTTTTATCTCCTCTGTGCCAGCTGCATGCATCAATGATATATGCAAACAAAGACCACAAGAATCTCTAATTCTGAATTTCTGCAGGCTGGCTGTGGTTTTTCTCGCATTTGATGTGTTCTTTGCGATCTTTTGTGTTGTTTTGGCATGTTTGATTGGGATTGCTCTCTGTTGCTGCTTGCCATGCATCATTGCTATTCTTTATGCTGTTGCGGGGCAGGTATGAAGATCTAAGTTTACTAAATAAATAATTTGTTGACTTGTAAGCCTTATAGCTAGCTGTTGGCATTTTCACTTGCTCAAGTAGGATTTACCGCTGCTCTCTTTGCATGAATGACTATATAGGAAGGTGCATCAGAAGCAGATCTCATTATGCTGCCAAAATACAAATTTCAAATGATACGCAATGAGGAAAAGCCCGGCATTGAGGCAGGGAAAATGGTTCCTGTTGAAACAAGTAGTGGATTTTTGGGAACTGAGCGTATACTTCTACCTGAGGATGCAGTAAGTATTGTTATGAGAATTTTCACAGTTTCTTAAAGCCTGTGGATCTGCACTGCTATAAACCATGTTTAGAAGGAGATGCTGTTGTTTTTATTGGAAAGGCATGGAATTTTTCAATCTGCTCTCCGTTGTGCTGTTATATATGTGCACTTATACCCCTAGTATTTGTGCATGGCTGGATATTGATGCAAAATTAATTGAAAGAAAAATTGAGCTATTTATTTGCTAGTGCAATTTTGGTGAGCAAGCACCATATTAGATCATACCGGGATAAGCAGTGCTGAACTCAGCTGCTGGTTAATAATTCTGTCAATGTGGAGTAATTGTTTAAATTTGGTGTCTTGCCATAGATTTGAATCTCTTCTTAGCCAGTAATTACTTCTTCAAAATATCCTGATAAGAAGTGGAAAATCATGTCCCTCAAGAAGAATTAATGCATGCGTGTGAGTGGAGAGATGTTAGTATGATGTTGTGTAGCAGCTCCATTGTTCAATTAAGTAGCTCAATTAATTTTTGTGAGACAAGTAACTGGCTCAAGTAAGTCTACATTTTCATGCTAGGCTAGTCAGCTTCTTTGGCTATGAGTTACATCAATGTATTAGGTTTGGACTTGAAAAATATAAGATTTAAGATTCTATTTTTGTTTGTTTTCTCCTCGATCAAGAGGAGAGGTTGGAGTGGTCTGAAAAAATAAGCTTTGATGAAAAAAAGTGGAAAATTGCAACGGCCAATAAATAATTGAAAGATACATGAGTCACGAGTTTTTCCAAGCGTAGTTCACTTCCACTATGAATTTTAAGAAATTTCACTAATGATCTGGAGTTTTGTTTCATCATGTTCTTTCTTTGATTTTTTACCCTTTAGGAATGCTGTATATGTCTCAGCCCATATGAGGATGGAGCGGAACTCCATGCACTTCGTTGCAACCATCATTTCCATGCTACATGCATTGTGAAATGGCTTAAGATGAATGCAACATGTCCTCTCTGCAAGTTCAACATTCTCAAGGGAAATGAACAAGCATGAAGAGAATACAAGGAGACACAGTATTCAGCTGGGTTGATGCCCCCCACACGCTGTTCATCTTCATGTACAGAAGAAACCGAGGCAGAAGGAAAGAAGCTTCTTCAAATTCCTGTGGAGAGAATACAAGTTGTGTCATTCATTCAATCAAGCTTCATTTAGTGTATTCATTTCGGCCTTTGGAGTTGTATTGATTCTTCTTCCTCTCCTGAGTTGTTTGAGGAGTGTGAAAAATGGAGCAAGAGTCTTCAGGCCTTCTGTTTATGCTTAAATTATATGTTTGTAGTTATGTAATTGCACGATTGCATCTATAGTAGCCTGCTTAGTAA